TATTATTGTATGATGATGTTCAGACCATGATAAATCTAGTGATCTGAGTGATTCGAAAGGGAAGGAAAAAGTATGGGATTAAAAAGATTATTGTAGAAAAGGTTATGTAATGATGCAAAGGTGAATGCAGTTTATTTATTTAATTGTTCTAATTGAGGAAGAATTGTGGTAAGTCAACCCCATATTATTTTTAAAGTATGAATTTATTTTTTAATTAAATAATATTTCCATAAAGTCATATAAATGATTTATGACTATTTTGGGTATGATATTACCCAATATGTTATAAATGTTATTTATGAAAATATATATTCGAATGAATTTTCTAAAGTTATTTTAAAATATGATATGAACTCTTAATGATGAAATATTTCTTTAATGATTTCAAAAATGTTAGTTTTATGAATGATTTAGGGTTTGAACTGACCAAATTATGATTTTTGTGATAATGATTGGAAAAATGATTCTGAATTGAAATATTGATTTATATATGAATATGGTATGATCTAAAAGTCCATTGTATATTGCATTGAGAGTCGTAGGTACACTTGGCATGCTATTGTGTTGAATAATACTGATTCTAATTCTGATATGGTACATTCGCGTACATTATGACTGGCATCGTTGGTGCAAATGTTATGATTCCACTTGGAGTGTATATTATGATTATGATGATATCAACGTGAAGTGCTTAGTGCACACATTATATTTGACTCACATACCTTGCATTCTCTCACATATACATTGGGATACGAAAGTAAATGTGAAAGTTATAAAAGTATATGAAAGAAAAGAATATGAAATGAAAGTTTTGAAATGTATATGAATAAAAAAGAATATGAAATAGTTATTATTTATATTGATTTACATGATTTTAATAAAATCATGAGATAATGGTTTTCAGGTTTCCAAAAGGGAAAATGGCTTGAATAGCTAGGTTTGGAAGTTTAAATAATTTTATTTAAAATTACAGTTTTTATGTTTCAAAGTATTTTATGATATTTTATGTTTTATCTCACCTTAGTCGTGTTACTGTCTCACTAAGTTTTTGCTTAGCAGGTGATGATTTTCATGTGTAGGTTCGAATAGATAAAGGAACGTGAAGTGAGGAGCCTCTTGAACATCTTTTTAGAAAATTATACCTAATATCAGTATCAGTAATTGATAAAGAATGGCATCGGAGTTATGAACGTTGCTCGTCGTTGAAGAATCAGACCTAGAAAGATCTAGACTCGATCAAAGAATGAAGGGGAAAGAGATGGAGGGGCAATGGCAATTAAGGTTTTTAGGGTTTATTGGAAATTGAATAAAAAGAATACGAATAAAATAATAAAGATAAAATAAAGATAAGGGATAATAATAATATAATAATAATATGATAAGAATAACTTAGCCAAGTTAGAGTTTTGTTGGTGATGGGCGAGAATGGTGATTCAATGATGATGATGATGATTGATAGATGGTTGTCCTACGAACCCTCCTAGCCGCAATTGACTGGCAAACTCAATAATCAGCTCTAACTAGCCCTCTTAATCGCAATGAGAAGGCAAATAAGAGTGTGAATAGCTTCCTAACAAAGAACTTGAAAGAACTTAATAATGAAGAATGCTTCGAAGGCACAAGGCAATCAACACTTGCAAAAATAAACTCTCGTTGTATTATATTCAAGAAGAAATGTAATTAGAATGGTGGGAGGAGCCTCCTTTATATAGGGTGAGAAGTCCTTGTTGTAACATGACTAATGAATAAAAGATAATGTTTCGAGTCTATCCTAATTTTAATAAAATAATAATAAACTAGGAATAATGTTTTAACTTGAATTTAATTCCTAATAAAATAATCAATTTAATTCTAAAAGATAATGCATTTAAATTATATTACAAATAATCAATAAAAATATTGAAAATTTGTAATATTTAGAAATTGATCCTTTAAGGGATTTTAAAGATATTTTCAGGATTGTCTCTGATTGTATCATTAATTGATCCTAAAGTTGTTTCAACTTGAGTTGTTGAGATCCAAGTAGATGTAGTAGGAATGAGTAATGAATTTCCTTCATTGAATTCTTCAATCTCCATGTGAGCATGAAGTCCCTTACTAACGAAGGCTTGAACCGTAACTTGAAGCTTGTCTTTCAGAAGTTTGGACTTGGCTCGTTTGATTAGACCAAGTGGAAGAGTCAATCCATCTTCTTTTGTCTCGTGACAAGTCGTGCATTTATCAGTAAGACATCTTATCTTTAACTTATTAGTGACATATATATTATATCTATCTATTTGATTGTTTTATCGGATTTATTTAAAATAGTCTGTAAAAGTAAACTATGATCTTTATTTTGGTCGATTTTAATTATTTATGAAAATATGAATGTATGGTATATATATAATATTACGCTTTAAACGATTTTCAAATTAAGCAGTGTTTAGGCAGTTTTATATAGTTTATGAAATGTCACTAAACAATCTAATTGCTACCTAAATCGGATTTGATTTGAATGTTTAAATATTATTTTATGACTGTACAGGATAAATGAAATAGTTTTAAAATTGACAAAGGAATATTTTATAATGAAACAATTTTTTATGCATTTATGTTCAACGTTGTCTATAATGTTAATGTAACATCTTTAACTCATATTTCGAGACGTATACAGGTCATGGGTGTTACAAAATAGGATTGAGCTTCCAAACAATTGTCATTGTTATCATTTGGATCCGGACATCTAATGCTCATAATGAGATGGACAACCCAGCTAGGAAAAAGGGAATAAAGAGCGTTGTTGTCCTAATGGCATGCATCATTTATAAAATCAGTAAAATTTTAAATTAGCAAAGTGTTCAGGGAAATAATGTCTAAGAGGGTCGAAAGATTGGATCCAAACGTCGTCAAGGAAATGGGCAGTGCTACCATTCCCCAATAGACCAGATTATGTTATCCTTAAAATTCTCTCAATTATTCGAGAGTGCACTCCATAAAGGAGAGCAATCGATCAATAAAAGTGGGGCAAAGAGTACCGATCTTATACTTTTGGCGGAGAAAGCGAACCCAAAAGGCCTCAATATCATTCAAGAGTTTGAAAGCAATCTTGTAAAGGAAGGCGATATTGAAATCTTGAATGTTACAAACACCCAAACCTCCATTATCTAAAGGTTAACAAAGGGCTTCCCAGTGGACAAGAGAGACTTTCCTGGAAGTAAGAGTAGCTCCCCAAATGAATTGATGAACAATTGTCTTGATCTTAAGGCAGACATCGATAGGTAAAAGTGCAGATTACATAACGTAGATAGGGATGGCTGAAATGACGGACTTAGCCAACGTTACGCGACAGGTAAAAGAGAGAGATCTAGCCACCCAGCCGATGAGATGACTCCCCATCTTATCCAGAATGAAATTGTAGTCAGAAGAATTCACTCCGCTAAGATTAATCGGAACATCAAGGTAAGAACTCAAAGGATCGACCGAAGGAAAACCCAAGTCATCGCTGATGATTTATTTATTTATTTATGAACCACTAGCACATATGTCAATACACATATCATTAAGTGACTTCTAATTAAAAAATTAAATGGAAATGTGGAATGACCAGCTAAAGAACTTGAGAATATAGCTAAAATATTTTAAAATTATTTATATTTTTACTTATAATTTGACACCGTCTAATACAATAATTTAGAATCTTTTACTTTATAAAGTAATGGAGTCACTATTGGACATACTAAACAACCACTAACTTTGGCCTAGAAATGAAAAAGAGGGGTTTGGTTCACTAATTAAATTCTTTAACTTTAGTTAAGTTCACACAATAACATTTACCGGAAAGAGAAGCGTGAAAGCATAACGAAGACCAAAGGCACGCATTGTAGAAGACTCAACGAAAGAAAAGTTATGAGTAGGGCTAAAATGAAACGATACTCGTGAGTTATTCGGATTTATTTTATTTAGTATGGCTAACATAAAAATTGGATGTAGTTGATTCGAGCTGGAACTCGATTTGAGTTCTTAACAAATTGAAACAAATTATTTAATACTTGATTCAAAAAATTTATGAACAATTCAAAAAAATAATATATTAAATTATAAAATTTTAAATTAAATAATTAATAATATATATATATAATATAATATATTATAAGACTTTCATATACTTAATGTTCAAGTTTAAAATCGAGTTTGAGATTGAACTGAGCTCAAGTTTGAACTTTGATTGAGCTAAGTTTGAGAATGCTTCGAGCTTGATAATTTTAAATTCACGAGCTTTTAAATTGAGTCGAACTTAACTTTAAAATTTTTTAAGTCTAATTGAGTTGAGAAAATTCCAACCCAATTGTTCTCCAAATCCAATATCATTCAAGTTCAAAGTCAACTGTAGGGATTTAAATAACGGTATGTAACCGCGATAGCGCTCGTGATATAACAGTAGCGGTGCCTTCCGAAAATGCTATTATTTGAGACACCCGCAATCGCTGCAATAGCGCCCGTTATACCCGTGATATAGCAGTAGCGGTGCCCTCCAAAAACTCGATCGCGATTTGAATCCCTGATCAACTATTTTAGTCACACAATGGATGTTGAAAAACAGTCAAAGTTCATTCAAATAAAACACTGAACTAACCTTTACGAATTTCACAGGCAGGAAGGATCCAATTTTCTTCAAATCTATGAATAAATCCATCAATAATTAATAACAGAAACGAACATCTAATCCAATGAATGCCCAACAGAATTTGGGATCCAATGATGGTTAAAACATCATATGTGTATATATATATAGCTAGATGAACATGGCTTCAAGTTTCTGTTTTACATAAAAAAAAGGGGGGGGGGGCAGAGAGAAACCCAGAAACAAGCTTGTAAGTCTAAGTGACCAGAGAGAGAAATTTATCTTTATCTAACCGCTGAAAATTTTGTAAAGATGCCTAAAACCGCAGTTTTTTTTTCACATATATATATATATATATTTTTTTTTCCCTTTTGAACAACTTACCTAAAATTAAGTTCTATCAAAGACTTGGCCATTTTGGGCTCGGTGAAAGTGGGAATCCTAACTGACCCGAAAACGGATAAAAGAACGATGAATACGGTGACCGTGGGGAATTCACGCACCCCAATGCTACCGATGATGATGGTGAATATGACTGGATTATCCCTGTTGTTGGTACCTGTGACTGTTGCGCTGGTTGCTGTTGTGGGGCGGTCAAGTTGTTCCAAAGGGGTGAAACCAGTGGGGCCAATGGTGGGAACCCTGTGAATTGTTTTGGGTTGGGATCAACAGCGGTGGGTGTAGAGTTTTGTAGGTATCGCATAAAGGCAGAGACGGGCGATTCGGCCACCACCTGCACAGCGGGAAAGGGAGGGAGCGGCGAAAGAGGCGCCGTAGCAGGTGGCCTTTGATTCATGAAGGTATTTGCAGTGAGGCAACCGGAGGGGTTCATATTGGGGACGGCGCAATTCATCACCGGGGGAGGACGGTTGGTAACGTGCGCCAACGGAGGAGGTCGGATCCTCTGAAGTCGAGAGCTTTGCGGTTTGGGTTGGTGGATTGGGGGCGGAGTAGAAAACCGCTCGTGAGCGGGTGAACCGGTCAGCTTCTGTACGACATCCCAGGATTCACCGGAAGATTGACAGCTTTTCTCCATTTTAAAAACACTAAAAAGAAACCCTTTTTCACTCTCAATCGTTCTCTTGATCAATTTCTTTATGTAAGGTATTTGTGGAGTGGACGAGAAAAACAGGAAGAGGAGTCAGTTAATGGAGCTTTCTTTCATTATTTATCCACACCTAGGAAGCCGATGAATGATGGATCCTTTTGACAACTTATCCACTGCACTATATTTGTAACTTGATAGAAACATATTGAATATGTTGTTAATTAATTCATTTGATTTTTTTCAATAAATAGTTAAATTTTAGGGTCAATTACACAAGTGGACTAATGTTTTGAGTATGTTTTTTGTTTTTTCCACTGAAATTTCAAAAGTAAAATATTGATCACTACGTTATCGACCTGTAACAAATTTGTTACTAACGTTATTGATCTGAAATAAATTGATCACTTGACGTTAACAGCCGTTAACTCGGTTGATGGAAAGCTTAATTGGCCCGTTAACTTCTTAGCTGGACCTTTGCCCATCACGTTGGAGAGTCATTTGCGTTCAACGGTCGCCTCTTCTTCAAAATAAGAAAACAATCGCTAAACCTAATTTAGCCTATTTTCATTCATCATCTCTTTTGTTTAAAATTTCTCAGAGAATAAATCCAGCTGCGGTAATTTTCCGCTCTTCTGTGATCGATGCAGGATGTTGAATTTTCCGCTTTCTTTATTTTGCAATCGTTGTTCCAACAATAAAGGATTGACGAGTCATTGCAATCGGATCACGATGAGGAGATTAACCAATAACCATGTTAGCTTTGTTGTTATTTCAGTTTTGAACTGGTCTATCGACATAAAACGACACTGTAAATGTGGTTTTATTGCGAGCGCAGCGGAACGTGCGGGAACAGATGCAGAAAAAGTTAATGTTATTCTAAGATGAATGTTATCGATGGCTACGCCCACTATAAACTTGTTTTTCTCTATCCAAGTATATGCGTGTTTATTTATTTGGAGCACAATTAAATGGCCCTAACATATTCATTACTGGAAACTTGGCAAATCCAGTGATTACAAGTAATTGAATGATTCAATTACAATTAATTAATTGCGTGGATTAACGAGCAAATCTTGGAGGATCTTTTGCTTCTTCTAGCATCAATGGCGTTGAAATTGTAGCTTACTCATTTGTGTTTGAAAATTTAATCAAGTACAGAAATCATATTTTGCAAAATTGATCATACTGCCACAATCATTCTAATCTGCATTCAACCATGATAAATTTTATGAGATGGGAGTAATATAAGATTAATGCTAGCCTGGTCTATTATTCTGCGGTGTCATCTCCTATCTTTTCGATTTTTGGACGTTTGGTGTCGATCTCGCTATCTTGATGGCTAACATCCATTTACTGTCTCTTCACCCAAAAGTAACGTGTTTGCTGGTGATTTGGCGGCCGGCCCTAACTAAATGACATCCACGGGAGCATCCGATTTTAGTCTTAATGGATTCACATGGGTTCAAGAAACTCGACATTCAGCATTAATCACAGCTAGGGATTTAAATTGTCATCACGGCCCCATTTTCGGTCGTGTTACGTTTATCGCGATTACGGATATAACTGATGTTATTACGGTCATTGCGGATAACATGATTGTATTTTTTTCCTAACTGAGTTGATTTAAAAAAAAACTGATTTTTTCAACAAAAAATCCAAAATAGTGAAATAATAACAGAGTAACGGTCTGTTATTTCCGCGATTGGTCACTATCTGCTAAATTACGGTCATGATCTACCGTTATTGATTTGATTCCTCTTTCACACTGTTATTTTCCGCGATAACAGTATCGACCGCCACTGCAACCGTGATGTAGCGGCCACGATACTGCTATCAGACCGTTATTTGAATCCCATATCACAACTTAGTAGAATATTACTACAAATGGGGAAATGGATTTGAGTGTAGTACAAAGGTTGTGGAGATGGAATATTCCATGGATGTCTCATCATCACCTTAGTTGGGTATTCATAGTTGTAAAGTGGAACATACTTGAATTCTTACATCTTCACCTTAGCTGGCTTTTTTTTTCCTTAAGAATTTTCAGAGAAATTTTAGGCAAAAGAGATGATGAATGAAAATAGGATAGATTAGGTTTAAAGATTGGGTTTTTTAATTTGGAGAAAAGGTGATCGTTTAACACAAATGATCCTCCCACATGACAATCAGCTGTTTAAGTAAGAAGTTAACGGGTTAACTAAGCTTTATGTCACCAAAGTTAATGGTTGTTAACGTTAAGTGGCGGAGTTGTTACAAATCTATAACGTTAGCGATCAATTTGTCACAAGTCGATAATATTAGTGATTAATTTGTTACATTTAAAACTTTAGTGGATAAAACGAGAACTTACTAAAACATAAATGACCGTTTATATAATTTACCCTAAATTTTATTCTGTGTTTAAAATTGAAAGCTGTGGCTAGTGGTGTTGGGTTTTCCGACCAAGGAAAATAATTGCACCTTTTGGTTGGAATCTGGTCAAAGTTACGTTTAAGAAAGAATTTCAAACGGACCACGGTAATTTTTGGATCGAAGCATTGCTTTTATTTATTTATTTTTTGTTAACCTCCAATGTTCTAAAATTTTACCTTGATTAATTCGAATTAACTTGTATTATATACTTAATTTTAGTGTTTAAGTATTTTAACAAGAATTTTTTACGTATACAAACATTAAATAATATCAAAATACTTACTACTTAAACTAACTTTAGATGGTAATAATGTTTTTATTTAGGGTCCAAATAAAGTTACAAAAAGGTTAGTTGGACCTGCATTCAATTAGATCAATCTTTCAAAATTTTCAATGTGGGATTTGGTCTGTTTCAACCTCAAAATTTGTGTTCCTAATCACAACATACAAGTCGTGAAGTGGTTTCAAGGAGAAAATTACGAAAAATTATACATGAGTGGATTGAAGTTGGGGAAGAATCTTATCAACTGCGAGGGATAAAGTCACTACTTCAGAAGAAGAACAAAAACCCACTAAAAACCTCAATGACAAGTCCTTCGCCCGTCAGCACTAATTGTGCTAAAAGGGGGACAAAGAATCTGATACAATTATTATAATTTTGAGAGGCAAAGAATGGTTTTACCCATGGTTATAAAAACTAGACCGGACTAGCCGGTTCAACCGGTTGAACCGTGAACCGGTGGTTTGTCCGGTCCGATTACCTCACAAAACCGGTCTGGCAATGAACCAGTTGAAAACCGGAAGAACAGGCTGAAAATCGGTAAAACCGAGGTGAACCGGCTGAAAACCGACAAAACCGATTTGAACCGTCGGTTCACTTTTTTTTCTTTTAAAAAAAATTAAACCAAACGACGTCGTTTGGTCAACGAGCCAAGTCAAATTCGAGTATTGTTGAGCTCGAACTCGAAAACTTTAAAAGTAAGCTCAACTCGACTCAAAAACTCAAGAGCTAAAAATTATCAAGTTCAACTCAAACTCGAAATATAATATTAAAACTTGAACTCGAAAAGGCTCGAACTCAAAAAAAATTAGAAGTTCGATTGAAGCCTAAAATTTGATCTCAATTGAAGCGAAAGAATAGTTCGCTCTGTGCTCACCAAAAGGCTCCATGATTTTGAATGTTAAATTACCTCTATTATTTATAGAAGTAAGTTGGGATGCTCTTCTATGTTTCTTAGCCATGTGGGATTGTTTTGTTCTCATATTTTCTCTTTAAACTTTTGGGATGCTCTTCTATGTTTCTTAGTCACGTGAGATTGTTTTTTTTTTTAAATTAAACCAAATGCATCATTTGTTATGATTTTTTTAAGCCCTAATTTTATTTTTGATAGTTATATAATATATTTAATATTTAATATGTTTTACCTTAAATATTATGTTGTAGTTGATTTGAATCATTTTGTTTCATTTGATTTTATGGTTTTTAATTTATATATGTTATGACTTGTGATATTTTTATACCTTTTAATATTGTAAACTTAAAAAAAGTGTTACATATATATTAATATTGCTTTGAATATTATGTAAAATAAAAAAATATTATTTTATATAAAATCCGATTCAACCGCGATTGAACCGATGAACCAGTACCTTCACCGGTTCAATGTCCGGTCCGGTTTTAAAAACATTAGTTTTACCCTTTTTTTCGATTTATTGATCGATTGATTTAAATAAAATTTTACAGAATCTACTATAAGAATAATTCTCCCAGCCTAATTTAATATATTTATAAATATAGAAATAAAAACTCTTGATTTTACATAAAAAATTTTAATAGTTTATCCCATTAGACCAACTAATTATTGATTTTCTACGTTATTCATTAATATGGTCTGATTAAAGGATGTTTTCGATTTATTGATCGATTGATTTAAATAAAATTTTACAGAATCTACTATAAGAATAATTCTCCCAGCCTAATTTAATATATTTATAAATATAGAAATAAAAACTCTTGATTTTACATAAAAAATTTTAATAGTTTATCCCATTAGACCAACTAATTATTGATTTTCTACGTTATTTCATTAATATGGTCTGATTAAAGGATGTTACTATTCTCGTCCCGAGATTCTCTTACTTACCGGCACACGAGTAAATCATGAGCCAAATTTTTATTTAATTTAATTTGAATATAAATAAAAAAATAATAATTTAATTCCTCTATCAGAATATAAACTGATTCAAATTTAAAATGATCTAAATCTAAAATAATTGAAGTTTAAAGATTAAAATTATTTGAACATATAGTAATTTAAATGATTTGTAATGAAAATAATTCAACCTTAAAATAATCTAAAATCGATATTAACTCAACTTTATATAATCCAAAACTTTGTTTTCAATAAACTTTAAATAGACACAAACAAACCCGTTCCATATAATCGATAGATTTACTTGCAAATTATGCATTTAATCTATATGTTTCTCCAAAACCATTTTTTCAATATAATTCATTAATTAGAGTTGCCTCCCAAATTAATTTACTATTTTTTTTTTAAATTTCAGATACATAC